CACCAACTGCGAGACGGTGCTGCGGTCGAGGTTCGGCACCTCCGCGAGCGACGCGTAGAAGTGGGCGAGGGCGACGCGGTGCAGGTAGTTGCTCGCGGTCACCATGACACTAAGCCGCGGGAACAGCGAGGTCCGCGACCACGCCGCCCCGCTTTCCCGCACCAGCGTGCAGCACGACTTGACCGCCGCTTCGCGGATCGTCGATACGCGGTCAACCAGGTGCTGCACGCACAGTTCCACCACCTCGTCCGCGTTCTTGCCCAGCGAGGTGATGAGGAAGGGAATCTGTGATATCACCACTTCGCGAATACGCCACTTGGGATCCNCCACCTCGTCCGCGTTCTTGCCCAGCGAGGTGATGAGGAAGGGAATCTGTGATATCACCACTTCGCGAATACGCCACTTGGGATCCTCCGCGAGCGCCACGACAACCGGCACGAGTTTCGGCGCCATCTCACACGCCTCTGGCGTGTTGCCCATGGAACTAAACCCAGAGACAAGCGCCAGGCGCACGTCTGCCTCCGTGTCATTCAGGAGCTGTGTGCATGTCGGCACAATCGTGCTGCCCCACATCTCGCGCGGGACGTGTGCCACTGACTGCAGCACAGCGCTCGCCAGGCACATGCGCACATGGCTGCTTTCATCGTTCACAAGCCGGCATCCGGTGGCGAGAAGCTCCTTCTTCGTCGCCACGTCGCGACAGACTGTGATGACGCTCGCCATGCTAAACACCGCCGAGGCACGAATCTCCGCCTCGGCGTCCTGCGTCAGGGAGCGGAAGAAGGGCAGAATCTGCTTCACGTCCGTCGGCGCCATCACGCTGGCGAGTTTGCCTAGCCTGTCCGCCGCCATATAGCGCACACGCCACGAGTTGTCGCCGACCAGCGCCTTGACGGCGGCGAGCACACTGCCGTGCACGTCATGCGGCAGCGCCTCGAACAACGCCGCGGCTGCCTCAACGGCCTGCAGCCGCACCCCATCGCTCGGGTCACGCGAGAGGGCGGTGAGTGCGTTGACAAGCTCCGCGCTGCGGCTGCCCAGCACCACCGCCATGTGCTTGCCCAGCGCGATACAGGCGGCGCGGCGCACCATGATCTCCTCGTCGTCGCACAGTGTGAGGAAGAGACTCATCAGCTGCCCCCGCACCGCCACGCCCACGTGCGTGTACGCCGTGGCAACAAGGTACGCCGCGCTCGAGCGGCATTGTGGCGTCGTCTTTCCGAGGCGTTGCACCAGGCTGACAAAGTCGCGCTGGGCTTGCGCGCCGGCGTCGCCTGTCTCACGGAATATGAGGCCGCCGACGGTGCGCAGCGACGTCACCGCCTCGTCGCGCACCGTAATTTCATCTAAGCTGCTCAGCAACTCGAGTGGACTGAGAATGCTCTGCACGTGGGCAATGCCTCCCACCTCCTGCAGCATCGTGCCAAGCGCGTTGGCAAAGACACGCAGCACCTCGTCGTTCTCGTCAAGGTAGTCCGTGAGGTACGGCAGTAGCTCGTCACGCGTGCGCTCGGGGCCAAGCGTTGACGCGATGAGGTGGATGCCGCGCATGCTGTTGAGCCGCGCCTCGGGATCCTCGGACCGGAGGTTGGCGATCATCGACTTGACGGAGTCGAAGTGCTCAGTCATTTTCTAAGTTTGATTCCGGATCAGGCACTGTTTGCTATTTCTGCTTCTGATGGCTGTAGTCTTGGCTTCTATTAGAGCACCCGGCCGAAAATCCCCTCTTTATTCTATTGTTTTTTTTTTTTCGTTTTTTTTTTTTTGCTTTTCCCCCTCTCTCTTTTGCGTGTGCGTGTCCCCTTTATTTTTGTTTGTTTGTTACCTGGCCTGGGGGCTGTATAAGTTTCTTCTCTCTTCTTTAGCTGTTCCTCTCGTCGGTTAGTTGTACGGCCTTGTATCCACCCACCCACCCCCTGCTGCCCTCCACTTATTCTCAACAATAATACTCAGCGCACACGCGATGTATGTATGTATGTATGTATGCGCTGCGCGTGCAGATCAGGTACGTGAATGTGCCCGCCTCCAGCCGCAGCTCGCTAAACTCTTGTGTGCGTGTGTGCTGTTGCCGGAGCGCAGAGCGTTGTGTGGGCGCGGTAGCTTGCAGCAACCCCGTGTGACGTTGACGTTCACACACACACACAGAGAGAGAGAGAGAGAGAAAGAAAGAGAGAGATCCAACGGAATCACCCATGGAATGAAAAGCAAAGGGAGAACAAAAAAGAAAGATAAAAAAAGAAATGGCAACGCCTCCCCCGCAAAAGACCACAACACGCATCTACGCATCGCACCTTCAATAACGTCCCCACACAAGCACGTCGGTGCTGTATTGTGTTCTTCGTTTCATTCACTTTGGCTGCTGCATTTAATCGATGACAGTTATAAACAGGAAGAATCACACCGATTTGATTCTTTTCTTTTCCTATTCTTCTTTTCGTCCCATTGTTGGTGGGGTGCCGTTTTTCACCCCTCAGTTCTTCGCATTCTTCTTGACCTTCTCGCCCTCACCGCCGCCGCTGCTGCTGGTGTTGCCGCCCTCACCGCTCTCACCGACGGATGCGTGTATCTTCGCCTCCACGTAACTCCGAGCCCGCACCTTCACCTTCTCCACGTCCGCCGGCGTGCCGTACGCCCGCTCAAACGACATGAACCGCGTAAGGAACTGCTGCATCACCTTCGCCGAGAAGTTCGTGGCGACGGCGCGCTCCAGCAGGCTGCGTACGAGCGCCGTTGTCGACACCGCATCGCGGCGGGCGAGCAGCCCCATCTCCTGGTCGATGTACGCTGACCACACGTCGGACTTCTTCGGCACACGCACCAGCAGCGCCTCGAAGAGCGCGCGGCCGTTCTCGACGCTGCCGTGGCGATACTCGTGCACGGCAAGGTGCACCACCGTCAGACAGTACTCGTCGCGACGCAGGGCCTCGCCCATATCCTTCACCATGCGCTTCAGCTGGTCGCGTTTTTTCTGGTCAATTAGCACAGTGCCAAGGCGCTCCCACGTGCGGCGCTCGTTGCGAAACTTTGTCGTTATTGTGCGGCACAGTGCGAGCAGCTGGTTGGGCTTGCGTGTAGCAGCGAAGATGTCGGCGAGCCGCTCGTAGACGACGAGCTGTTCGGGAGAGCGCTGCAGTGCGCGCTTAAACACCGACGTGAGGGACTCCGCTGTACCGTGGAGGTTCTCGAGGTTCATGTACGCCACCCAGACGTTGAGGCGTTCCTGCGTCTCGCGCACGCCAATGGTGCTGAGCGCCTTCTCCGCCACCAGGCGCGCCTCCTCGTACTGCTGCAGCGCGACGTGGTGCGCCATCCACTGGGCCCACAGGTAGCTGTTGTTGGGCGACGCCAGCAGCAACCGCTGGAAGTCCTCCGGCGAGGAAGGCACGGCGTTGTGCATTGAACGCTCATACGCGTCAATGGCCTCCTCGAGTTTCCGCTTGCGTAATCTGCCTTCCCCACCATTCCCGTCCTTCCCCGCACCACCACCCTCGAGACTGTCATTATCGTCGTCGAACTCCTCCCCGTCACTTTCGCTCTCTGGGTGCCGTTGCTGTTGTTTTTGATGCTCGCGCTTGCGGTCACGCCATGGGAAGTAGCCGAGAAGCCCCGCTGTTGCGGCAGGCAGCTGAGCACTACGCACCGCCGGAAGCGTGGCGAAATTGCGGTGGCTTGACAGCACAAGGAACGGCAACACCTCCTGAAGCAGCGCCCCTTCCGCGACGAACTCCACCACGAGTCTGACACAACTCCCCACGACGGGTGCCTCCGCGGCCTTATTATCGCCGCCGGGCCACTGATGGACGTAGTAGCCGATGAGACTCTGTTCGCCGAACGGCACCTCGACCACAGCGCAGCCGTCGTCGGTGCACGACAGTAGCACAGTACCTGACACCACGCTGCCTGCCTGTACGCCCGCGAGAAGCACTTGTAGCGCGGCAACATCTGCAGGCGTACGCTCCACCACCCCCGCCCGCGCCGTGACGTTCGCCACGCCGGCATGCACGTCGTAGTTCAGCAGCCGCACCTCCACCGTGCCGGCCTCGACGCTCACGTTCTCAAGCGCCGCCACCGCTGTGAGCCCACCGGCAATGGCGAGCACCGCACCTCGCTCAGGTGTCATCTTCACAACACGCGCCACTGCCATTGTGCCCAGGCCAACGAGCACGTGTTTGCGGAAGAGCTGCGGCAGCAGCGAGGCCACCGGCGATGGGTACGTCACGTACCCACTCCACAGCTCGCGCAGCTGCACACTAAGAAGGCGGTACTGCTGCGCATCTCGTGTGCGGCGTGCCACGGCACGCACCTGCTCGCGTGACGCGAGGCGCTTGAAGAGTTTTTCCGCGAGGAGGTCGCCCCCCAACGTGTCGACAGTGAGTTTACCAAAGCCACCATTGCCGGGGAGCTGCACGACGATGCCGTCCGGCGCGGCGTGGTGCACGCGGTAGTCGCGGTACAACATGACACTCACCAACGCAACAACAAGGAGTTTATGTGTATGCAGTGCTTGCTATTGAAGGGGTGCCGGTATGACAAGGGGCAACGACGGTGAGGGGTTTGCGGTGCCAACAGGAGGCTGCTGATACGTCACACGCAAATACACACACGCTCGCTTGCACTCACGCACCGTGCAGAGTCCACTTTCTTTCCCTTTTCAACGCGGACAGCTACACCAGACAAGGTTTTGAGAGAAAAGGGAGAGGGACGAGCAGAATGTTAACACAGCCGCAAAGAATAGAAC